ATGAAGGAGGAAGTTCAAGGTGCTATGAAGGAATTGGCAAAAAACAAAGCTCCAGGAGTTGACAGCATACCAATTGATTTATTTCACAAAACAGAGGCTGCCCTGGATGTGCTCACTAAGTTGGGCCAAGAAATCTGGAGGACAGCCAGCTGTCCAACTGACTGGAAAAGATCTATATTTGTTCCCATTCCAAAGAAAGGTAAGCCAACAGAGTGCGGAAATTATCGAACAATATCATTAATATCACATGCAAGCAAGATTCTGCTGAAAATTATCCAAAAACATTTGGAGCAATATGTCAACAGAGAACTGCCAGATATGCAAGCTGGATTTAGAAGAAGTCATGGTACTAGGGATATCATAGGTAATGCTGGATGGATCTTGGCAGAAAGCAGAGAATACTAGAAGAATGTCTATCTGTGCTTCATTGACTATGCAAAGGCTTATGACTGTGTGGATTACAGCAAGCTATGACTCTCTCTGAGAAGAATGGGAATCCCAGAACATTTGATTGTGCTAATGGGAAACCTATAGTTGGACCAAGAGGCAGTCATCAGAATAGAGCAAGGAGATACTACATGGTTAGAAATCAAGAAAGGGTTCCATCAAGGATGTATTTTGTCTCCATATGTTTTCAATCTGTAAGCAGAAGAGATCATCCGAGACGCTGGGCTGTACAAGGAGGAATGTTGCATCAGGATTGGTGGAAGAATCATCAACAACCTGTGTTATGTGGATGACACAACCCTGCTTGCTGAAACTGAGGAGGACCTGAAGCGCTTGCTGCACAAGGTCAAGGACTACAGTCTTCAATATGGATTGAAGCTCAAACAAAGATTCTCATAACTGGGCCGACTGGCAGCATCAGAATGGTGAAGAGATTGAGATAGTTAACAGTTTTAGTTTGCTTGGTTCCACAGTCAACACTCTTGGTAACAGCAGCCAGGAAATCAAGAGATGAATTACATTAGGAAACTCAGCTGTGAGGGACCTCTCAAGAGTACTGAAGAGCAACAACATCAGGCTGAAGACTAAGGTGCACCTGATCCAGGCTATAGTCTATGCAATTATGTGCTATGCATCAGAGAGTTGGACAGTGAATAAGGATGATAGAAATAGAATTGATGCCTTTGAGTTGTGGTGCTGGAGAAGAGTGTTGAATATACCATGGACTGCTACGAGAACAAACAGGTTTGTCCTGGAAAGGGTGAAGGAAGAATGTTCCCTGGAGTCAAGGATTTTGAAGCTTCAACTGACATACTTTGGACATGTTGCAAGATCCTTGGAAAGGGACATCATGTTTGGGAGAGTGGAGGGACGGCGCAGGAGAGGAAGACTGTTGATTAGATGGACTGATTCTGTGTTGGGGTGGTAGGAATGAGTGTGTTTGAGATAGCGAGGTTGGCACAGGATAGAATGGTGTTTAGGGCTTCTGCAACTCGATGGCACATAACAACAACAACAATGAAGATTATTTAAAAATTGCTGGAACAGTACTTGAACAGGGAACTGTCAAAACTAAGTTGGGTTCAGAAGAGTCCAAAGAACAAAAAAACATCATTGTTGATGTCAGATGGATCTTTGCTGAAAGCAGAGAATACCATGAAAATGTTTGTTTTGTTGACATTGCAAAGGCGTTTCACTGCGTGGATAATAAATTGTGGATAACATTGAGAGGAAAGGAAATCTCAGAACACGTATTTATGATTGTGGGAAACTAGTCCTTGGAAAAAGGCATCATGCTGTGAAAAGTGGAAGTTAGTGAAAGAGAGTAAAACCCTCAAAGAGATGGATACAGTGACTACAACTTGGGCTTGACTATGATGGAGATCATGAGGATGACACAGGCAAGGTCTGATTGTTGTTCACAGGGTCCCTATGAGCTGGTATAATAGGAGAGAACTCTGGTGGCTTAGCGATAAGGAGCTGCTCTGCCAATGTAGAGGCATTCAGTTAAAATCCACCACCTGCTACTCATGAAAAAGATGGGAAATCTCCTCTCATGTGATTTACTTTCTCAAAGCTATAGGTTCAGTTTGACTTTGTGACACATAGAGATAAAATGAGTCAATGATACCTAACAACAGCCTCTTTGTCTATGATTAAGACTGCATTCAGAGATAAGTTAATTACTGTATTAAAGATATTGAAGTATAGTTTATAGCGCTGAGACCCTATATAAAGGAATTCTCATGAAAGCTCAAGGCTTGTTTGTTTGGGAACTACATCTACCCTGATCTAGCTGCATCAACAGCAGACAGTCAACAGACCACAATCGACAATCCAATCTCAGTCTACAGGTTAGTGGTCTGTTGTTCACCAGTGCCACGACCAGGTACATTGGCCTACATTATCCTTATTTCAGTGACAGTTTCTGAGTTTCTGTGAAACCTTCCAGGGAATCACAGAATGCAAAGAGATAGATAGATAGATGGAAGTCAGAACAGTTAAGGGAGGAGGAATAAGTGATGGCAGAGATGATGGAATGGTACAGCAGTTTGGACACTTAGAACCTGCCTCATAGGAACTTGTTGTGTGTCACTGAGTCAGAACCGACCCCAGACCCTCCAGTGGGTTTTCAGAGGCAGTAAATGGTATGGGAAGAGATTATCTATCCTTCTGTGCAGCAGCTGGCTAATTCAAGCCTTTGTTAGGAAGCACAACTTCTTACCACTAAGTCACCTGATCATCGAAACCATTGTAAAAAATTGGGTAACGCAGCCTATTGTAACAATTTAGTGCATTTTCACAATTTTTTAGTATACAATTCAGTAGCATGAGTTACATTTGTAATGTTGTGCAACCACATACCATTTATCTATTTCTAAAATTTTTCCTCACAAATAATACCTGTTCAGCAACAACTCCCCATCTTCCCCATCTCAGTCTCTGACAAGTATCTCTATATATTTGTCTAGTCTATGTATTTCATACAAGAAGGACCATTTAATACTTGTTTTTCTTTTTGTCTAACTTATCTTGCTTAGGATGTCTTCACATTTCATCCATGTTTTAGCATGTTTCAGAATTTCTCTTTAAGGCTGAATAATGTGCCATTATATGTATATATCACATAGTGTTAGTGGTTTGTTTTCACATATTGGCTATTGTAAACAATGTTGCTTTCAATAGCACTCAGACTTATTTTTGTCCATGATTTCAAATCTTGTAGATATATATTTAACAGTGGAATTGCTGAATCATGGTGTTTAACTTTTTTGGGAACTGCCAAACTGTTTTCCACGTTAGTTAACACCATCTATGTTCCCACCAGTGATATACAAGAATTTCAACTTATTTATACATTTATACATATTTATACATTTACAAACATTTCATACATTCTTTCTTTCATTGTTTTTAATAATAATAGTCATCCTAGTAGGTGTGACGGGAACTTTCATGATGAGTAATCAGTAAGGAGTTTTGCTGCTAACTCAAAGGCAACACCTCTCTGAACTTTTGAAAACACCATTTGCCATAAGTCACTTGTTATTGTTAAGTGCCATTGAGTCAACAACTACTCATAGCAACCCTAAGAACAATGGATCCGAACTCTATCCTGTATCCTCCTGACCATCTCTGAACATACTTAAGCCCACTGTTATAGTCACTGTGCCAATCTATCTTTTTGAGGGTATTTTCTATACCTTTCTAAGAATGGTATTCTCTATTTTCCCAAGGACTGGTCTGTCCTAACTACATACTCAAAGAATGTGAAAGAAAGTTTCATTATCCTTATTTCCTAAGAGCACTCTGGCTGTATATTTTCCAAGACATTTGTTTGTCCTTTTGGCAGTCCATGGGATATTCAGCACTACTGTCCAATATCACAACACAAAGGCATCAATTCTTCTGTCATCCTTATTCATTGTCAACCTTTCCGCTACATAGCAAGTAATTGAAAAGACTAATGCTGGGGTCGGGTGCACTATAGTCTTCAAGGAGACTTTATTGCTTTTCAGCACTTTGGAGAAGTCCCTGACGGCAGACTTGAGCAATGCATTTTTTTTTAATTTTTTTTTTTGACCAATGCATTCAAGTCACATATGACTCATAGTGACCCTATAACAGATCTGAACCTAGTCCTGTTCTATGCCATCCTTCTCATTTCTAACACACGTCAGCTTGTTGCAGTCATTGCACCAATTAATCTACCAATGCATTGATATGTTATGTTATGACTTCAGGTTAGCAATTCAGTTTCTTATCAGTAGGCCCTCAGAGTTCTCTTGCCAATGTGGTGTTGTTGCTATGTACTGTAGGGTCAGAAATGACACACAGCTGTCCCTCCAGTGGGTTTTAAGAAGCAGTTAATAGCACAGGAGGAGATTTTCCATCCTTCTTCCATGGAGTATCTGGTGGATTTGAACTGTATACCTTTGGGATTGCAGCACAGGACAAAAACTGCGTAAGACCGTTTTTGTAGAACATGTATGAGGCTCTGGGGGCCAGGGGAGTGCAGAGGAGTGAGGATGGGTAGTGGAAGGCTGCAATGGTTAATATTAGGGTCACACAATTTGATGGGTCAAAGGAGGGCTAGATAAAAGAAATGAGAAAGACCCAGTGTGAAAAACAATGTATATGAACTTTGTAAGCAAACCAGTATATAATGAAAATTTTATTTAAGTAAAAAAAAAAAACAAATCTATATTCGCCTCTATCAATAATTGTCTAAAATTAACTATTTTCTTTTGCTAAATAAGATTCATTCACTAAAGAAAGAATTTATAATTTCTACTGAGCATGAGACAGTATCTCTGAGGATGATTATAAGGTCTCCCTGATTAAGACTTGATAGTAATATTTAATATCAAGCAATGTTTGATAGATATCTTTATCTGAAATAATAAACAACATAAATAAAAGAAAAAAATTGAAAACCTCCACATTACCAACAAAATGGGGACAAATGAATCTTGAAATATTTCTTGTTGTCACTAAATTTATTTCCTGTTAATTTACATACAAAAACTTAAACCTGAAAATAAGAATCTTACTTTTGGGAGTTTCTTTCTGCCAATGACTGAGTTCAGCGGTCAAACATTTTGTCTGCATAATTAATAATGATAGCTACAAAGAAAGAATCAGAGAATTAAAAAAAAAATTAGTCCTTATAGAGTATTTAAGTCTATTAACAGTTGAAAATGTCTACATTTTAAATACTTTAATAGAAATTCCTAACAATCAGCTAAGGCAATACCAATTTAAATTATGGACGTTACAGTAGTGGTGTAATAGAAAATTTAAAAGTTATAAATTCTGCTTTAACAGTCATTTAATATTTTTTACATTTTACTTTTATTTGAATGGAAACATATGGAACAAATTTGTTTTTCATTCCACCAATTATACATATTTTCTTTTAGGACATTTAACAATTACTGGAAAAGAACTCAAGTACATTAAGTTTAGTTTCTAAATATTTCTTAAAGCAAAAAAACCCTCTTGAGATGGTACTTATTGTTGACATATGTCAGACCAATTTGCATTAAAGATGTTCCATTTGTCCTCTACATCTTTTCAGAAGAACTGATTTTAGTTGAGAAACAAAAAAAATAAGTTTAAAGACACATATGAAAGTAATTATAAAATGAGATTGGTTCTATGAACCATACCTAAAACAAATTCTATTCAAAGCTTCAAAATAGTTCAGTCATGGCCAAGGAAGAAAAGCAGTGAAATCTCTTTCATGTCAGGTATTGATTGGTTGGTTGGTTTTTTTTTTTTTTAACCTGAGTGGCAAACAAGTAGCAGTGTCCCACTCAAAGATGGTAGCCAGGCAACACACATTTAGAGCAGCATGCTTGACCACTATCTTCTCTTCTCCTCAGGCCAAACACACAGACACCATTGCTCGTTATCTACTCAGGTTTAATACACAAGACATTTGGTTGCTATGCAACAAATACATAGATAGCCTTTGTTTCTGCCAGCCATGCTCAAACCATTATACAACAATGTGCAAACTTTTCATCCTTTATTCAAAGACTAATGAGGATGACAGGGCTTTTTATATTAAATTACTTCAGTCATTCTTATTTTTATAACTGTTAAATCTTTGTGATAAATTTCTTGATTGATAAGACCATAAGATTAAAGTGCTTATCCACTAAAAAAATATTCAGAGCATTGTCTCTTTCCTTTATATGAGTCTTACTGATTTAGAAAACCAAAATAGAAGAGCATTATCAGCATCTCTCAAACTGAAAGAAATGAAGGGAAAATTCAAGTCTTACATCCTAACAATGAACAATTCATAGGTAAAAATGAAATGATAGAAAGTATCAAAAGAAGAATGAAGTACTACAGAGTCAGTATACCAACAAGATCTGAAACTTTCAACCATTGCTCTGTAAATATTTCCTGAAAGCACACAAACACTCACACATGTACACACACATTCACAAAACATACAAGTATTTCAAAAGCAGTCATTCTTTGAAAAAGACAGATGGATATCTTCTATTCAAAAACACAACAAATTTCACTATTTTTAAGGAGGGAAGAAAAGAAAGAACTCATACCTGAGCATTTGAATCAGTAAGTGTATCGGTTCCAACAAGCGAAAATTTATTCTGATACTTGATTTAAAAAGAAAAATAAGTCACACATTATAAACCACAATTTCTCATCCATTTTACACCAGTCAGTGTAATAAAACTCATTGCAAATACATTGATTCCTATTAATAGCAACCCTTTAGGATAGAGTAGAACTGCTCCATAGGATAAATCATTAGCAGATTGCCACATCTTGCTCCTATGAAAACTGGTGGGTTCGAATTGCTGAATTACTTGTTGAATTGGCAGCTCAGTACTTACCTCTTGTACAACCAGGGTTCTCTGACATAAGAAAGGAATTTGCTTATATTCTTCACTTTCTAAGCAAGAGTAACAGGAAAGCAGGCTAAAAGATCCCCACATGAAAAAATATATATAGAGTATGAAACAATTAGAAATTCATGTTAGATTTAGAAGAGACCATGACACAATCAACACCCTTGGTGCCAGCATTCAATAACTCAAAACATGTATTGCATTGAAAAAATTTTTTGTTATGGAACAATGATGACAGTTTAAAGACTAAGGTGTATCTGATGCAAGCCATGGTATTTTCAATTACTTGATATGCATTTGAAAGTTGAACAATGACTAAGGATGACAGAAAAAAAATTGACGACTTTTAGTTACAGTGCTAGTGAAGAATTCTGAATATCCTCTTGACTGCCAAGAGAATAAATAAATATGTCTTGGAGAATGCACAACTAGGGTGATCCTTAGAGGCAAAGATTGTGAAGCTTTGACTCACATATTTAAGGCATGTTGTTAGGAGGGGCTGGTCCTTGGAAAAGGACATCATGCTTGGAAAGGTGGAGGGTTAGCGAAAGAGAGGAAGACCTCCAATGATTTAGATTGACACAATGACTGTAACAATGGGCTCAAGTGTATCTAAGATGATGAGGATGGCATGAGACAGGGCAAGCTTCAGATCCATTGCTCATAGGTTTGCTATGAGTCACAGTAAACATGATCACACCTAACAACAGACTATGCAGTATTAAAAAATAACGGGGAAAAAATCCAAAATAACAGTTCTGGTGAACTGTTGTTATGTGTCATCAAGTCACCTGCAACTCACAGCAATTCTAAGTACAAAAGCTTTGAAGCCTGCCCTATTCTGAGCCACTAATTGATTCCAACATGCCAACCCTCATTACCTTGGCGAAATTACTGTATCAACATTCTCATTTGGGGTCTTCCTGTCCTTTGCTGTCCCTCCACCCTTCCAAACATGATGTCCTTCTCCAAGGACCAGTTCCTACTGGCCATGTGCCCAAAGTATGTAATCGGAGCTTCAAAATCCTAGTCTCCAAGGTGAAACTTGGTTTTGCCCTCTCCAAGACAAACCTATTTTTTTTTCTTGGCAGTCCATGTTCAGGACTCTACTCAAATAAATTCTGACATCCTTCGTCATTGTCCAGCTCTCTGATGCATAGCAAGTAATTGCAAAGACCATGGCCTGGATCAGACACACCTTAGTCTCTAGATTGACATCATGGCTTCTCAGTAATTCTGAAGAGATCCCTGACAGCAGATTCTCCCAATGTGATTTCTCTTTTGATTTCCTGAATGCTGGTGCAAAGAGTACTGATTGTGGAGCTGAGCAAGCTGTAACTGTTAACAACCTAAATCTCCTCTCCATTTATCATGGTATTGCCAATTGGCCCAGTGGTGAGAATATTTATCTTCTTGATGTTGAGTTTAATTCATATTGAAGACTACAGTCCCTGATCTTGTGCAGCAAACACTGCAACAAGCAGGTGAACTAGATAATGGAAAAATGGGAGGAAAGAAAGAGAAGAAAAAAGAAAATAAAGAGGGGAAGGTCCATATTAGAAAAATAACAGATGTTAAAATCATGAGGGGGGGGAAAGCCTTTAAAAGGGTATGACAGAAAAAACTGGATAAATTATGTATATTGTATTGAAACAGATGAGGGAAAGAACAGATTAGAAGTGATACATGTTTGAGTATTATGGTTAGCACAGGAATCCAGAATTAAGGTTGCATAGAGAAGTGTATTGGGGTGGGGGGTGGAGGGAAGGGACGTGGGAATTGTATACTAATGAAGGAATTTTTTTTTTCTTTTTTCTCTCTTCGGAGGGGGAAGCGAGCTGGTGGGGAGGGATGGGAAGGGAGAAAATTGCGGCAATGAATGAATGGAAATCCAAAACCTCTGTAAAAAAAAAATAAATAAAATTTTTTTTTAAAAAAGGTATTGCTTTGTTAAGTCCCATTAAAAAAATCAAAACTGTTTATAACGATTACAGCTAAAAGGTACAAATATAATTTCAACTGTACTTGTGTTTACTGTATTCTTTTTCTACAATAAAATTTTACTTCTAAATCTGAATGTCTATAATAAATTATAACAAAAGCAGAAAGATTATACAAACAAACTTGAAAATGCATGAAAGACAAAGAGTAGTGAGGATTTATGTTAAAACTATTAAAAGAGCTTTCTACAAAGATGGTGCCGAAACTGAAGAAGGAAGCCCCTGCCCCTCACAAAACTGAAGCCAACGCAAAGGCATTAAAGGCCAAGAAGGCAGTCCTGAAGGGCATCCACAGTGAAAAAAAAAAAAAGAAGATCCGCACGTCACCCACCTTCGGCGGCCTAAGATGCTGAGACTCCGAAAGCAGCCCAAATAATCCCAGAAGAGCATCCCCAGGAGAAACAAGCTTGACCACTATGCCATCATCAAATTTCCCCTGAACATTCAATCAGCCATGAAGAAGATAAAAGATAACAACACACTTGTGTTCATTGTGGATGTCAAGGCCAATAAGCACCAAATAAAACAAGCGGAAAAGAAGCTCTATGACATTGATGTGGCTAAGGTCAACACTTTGATTAGGCCTGATGGAGAGAAGAAGGCCTATGTTCGACTTGCTCCTGACTATGATGCTTTGGATGTTGCCAACAAAATTTGGATCATCTAAACTGAGTCCAGCTGGCTAATTCTAAATACAAATTTTTCTCACAAAAGAAAAAAAATCCAAAAATACCTATTAAAAGAGAGAAATGAAAAAAAAAATGGCTGTACAAAATATCAGACATGACACTATTTTAAGTAGAATAATTTTCTAATAACATTGTAGTGTGAAAAAAGTGGTTCTATCTCATGAACTAAAAAATGCAAATATAATTCCAAATCAATATTTTCTAAAATCATTTCATTCTTTCAGCTAAAATTTTATGTGTTCTTACTACATTTTCTAATTTAGGGATTTGTCTCACCAACCACCCAATTACTCAAGATAGGAACTTAAAACCATTTACTGTTCTTGCCCACTTTATATTAGATTACTTGAAGTCTTCTTGGTCCTCTCTCCTTAATATCTCTTGAATTCATTCTTTTCCACACTTAACAATATTAAAAACTTCATTAGTTCTTACTAGCACTAGTATTGCAATGTCCCAGTAGGGAAGTTCTGGTGGCCTACTGATGAGGAGGCCTTGAAATGCTCACTGCAGAAGATTAAAGATGAAAGCCTTCAATATGGGTTGCACCTCAACAGCAAGAAGACAAACATCCTCACCATTGGATAGATAAAGCAACATTATGATAGATGGAGGAAAGATTGAAGTTATCAATTATTTTATCTTGGATACACATCAACAACTTTGGTACCAGGAGTCAGGTTATCAGAAGACACACTGAGTTGGGAAAATCTGCTGTCAGGGATCTCTCCAAAATACTGAAACAATAATGTCAGTTTGAAGACTAAGGTGTACTTTATTCAGGCCATAGTTTTTTCAACCACTGGAAAGCTGGACAATGAATAAGGATGACAGAATAATTATTGATGTCTTTGAGCTGTGGTGTTGAAGAAGAGTGCTAAATATCCCATGGACTGCCACAAGAATTAACAGATATGTTTTGGAGGGTACAGCTAGAGCACTACCTGGAGACATGGATGATAAAGCTGCATCTCACATACATTAGACATTATGCTATAAGTCACTATTCCTTGGAGGAAGACATCATGCTTGGAAAAGTGGCAAGTCAGTGAAAGAGAGAAAGACTATTGATGAGATAGATGACAGTGACTGCAACAATGAGCTCAAGTTTGTCAGAGATGATGAGGATGATACAGGAAGGGACAAGGTTCAGATCTGTTGTTCATAGGGTCACTATGAGTCGTATCTCATTCGACAGTATCTAACAACAGTTGCACTGTCAACACAAAAGCAAGCAATTCATATCCACCAGCTGCTCCAATGAAGAAAGATGGACAGTCTCCTCCCATGTGATTTATAGCATAAAAGCCTAGTATAGATCTAAAACTAACAACTATTTATCATATCATTGTTCTTGGGAGCCAGCAAAATTACTTCTTACCTATGTCTAATTTTCAGTGAAATTGATTTAAAGATTGTATTAATTAATTATTACTTGTATTTCTTGATACTTACTTCTTCCATTTCTTTCCATATTTCTTCACATTCTTCAATAAGTCCTTTTTCAGCATCTGTAGCATCACTCACATCTGTAACACTACCTGGATCTAGATCTTGTTGATTCATTGACATGGACTTTATACTGTTCTTAGCTTTATAACAAAAGAAAAACAAAAAGATTTATTCATTCAGCAATATTTACTAAACAACTATTAACTGTTAGGTGCTAGAGATACAGCAGTGATTGAAAGAGACTTAAAAAAAAAAAGACCAAACAGAGGTGTTTGTCTGTTGGACACAGGCGTGGACCCGACGGGGGAGATGAAGCCCCAGGACTATTGAAATCTGGAAAATCCCCCTCCCCTCCCCTTTCCCCTTTCTGCTGCTTTGTGACATCCCCTTCCCTCTACCCTTCCTCACTCTACTAACACCTGGCCATGACTAGCAGAAGCACAGCCAGGCCCAATGGACAGCCTCAGGCCAGCAAAATATGCCAGTTCAAGTTGGTCCTACTGGGAGAATCTGCAATGGGGAAGTCTAGCTTGGTATTACGTTTTGTCAAAGGGCAGTTCCATGAGTACCAGGAGAGTACCATTGGAGCGGCCTTCCTTACCCAGTCTGTTTGTCTAGAGGATAAAACAGTCAAGTTTGAAATCTGGGACATAGCTGGGCAGGAGCGATACCATGTTTGTACTACATATGTACTACAGGGGGGCCCAAGCAGCAATTGTGGTTTATGACATTACCAATCAGGAAACTTCTGCCCAGGCGAAGACATGGATGAAGGAACTACAACGACAGGCCAGTCCTAGTATTGTTATTGCCCTGGCACGAAACAAAGCTGACCTGGCCAACAAGCGCATGGTGGAGTACGAAGAGGCCCAAGCATATGCAGATAACAACAGCTTATTGTTTATGTAGACTTCAGCCAAGACAGCTATGAACGTGAATGGTATCTTCCTGGCAATAGCTAAGAAGTTGCCAAAGAGTGAACTCCAGAATATGGGAGGTGCAGCAGGCCGAAGCAAGGGTGTGGATCTCCATGAGCAGTCTCAGCAGAACAAGAGCCAGTAATGTAGCAATTGAGGGGGTGGCTAGTAGCAAACAAGTATGGAGCTAGCATGAGAGCTAAGAAATAACCTCCATCCCCACCTCTTAGAACATAGCCCCTACAGTAACAGCACACTGAGCCCTGGCTCCCAAGGGCTGCCTCCTGACATCTATGTCATTGCACTTTTTAACACTTCAGCAACCAACATCAGGCAGGTGTTGGCCAGTGGCCTCCTATCCCCTACTCTGGGGTTTGGGGGTCAGATTCCCCCGGTACTTAACTTCCAAAACAAAACTTTCTTCACTTTATATTATAGGTGTAAAACAGTGACCTACTTATTTTTCTTCTTCATCCCCAGTATTTCCATTTTTCAAAAAAACACTTTTGTCTCCTCTCCCTTCCCTCCTTCCCCCATCTGCTTTGGCCAGTCCCTGTTCTTGATTCCCTTCTTCTCCTCTTCCCCAGAATGGAGAAGGTGGTGAACTTAGGAACAGAGGAAGGAAGTTGCTAGTTCAGTCACATTAAGGACCTTGGGGAAGAGTAAGGCTCACAGCAGGAGGGAGTAAGGAAACATTTCCTTTCGTTTTTTATTTGTTTGGAGTTTCTCAAATTTGAAAACACTGCATTATCCATGAGTTGGCCTTGTGGAGGGTGTTTCTAGCAAGAAATAAGAATGGGAAGGGAAGCTTTCTAACACCAGGCGGGAGTTGTGTTGAACTAGTTAAATGGGTAGAGATGGAGGTGCAGTGTCTGCTGTGGCTCTAGAACTCTTTTGAGGCCTGATTTCCCTTCACCCAGGCTCTTAATTAGCTTCTTTCCCTTAATGGGGATTAGATCCCAAAGTCCTCCAAAGAATCTTCACTGGTTCCCTGCATCTTTGGCTCTGCTATGATCTGATTGGTCCGCATCTTTGGCTCTGCTATGATCTGATTGGAGGAGGGGCCAGTTTCTGATACCCATTCTCTGATTTATACAGATGTATTTTCCCCCCTCTGGCCTTTAAATGGGCCTTGCCAGCATACCCCCCTGCAGTTTGCACTTTAATTATGGTATTTCAGTTGGGATACTTATTTTATGGGGACTTTGATTAATTTATTCACTCTTACACCTTTTTTTCCCCTCCCATTAAATATGAAGTTTTGGGAAGGGCTGTAGAGAACAGTGTTTATGCCCAACCTCATCTAACTCTTACTCTTAACCTGTAGTCTAGCCCACCTAGCTCTTACATGGAGATTTGCCTTTCTTAGAGAATTAACTAAGCAACTGAGGAGAAGTCTCAGCATACTCCTCATAGCATAGGCTAAAGAAGGAAAGTGAAGAAGGGCCAGGTCAGAGGGAAGAGTTTTCTCTCTTTCTAGGGTTCACATTCAATCTGATATGCATACCATGTCTTTTTTACTTCCCACTGAACAGTCTCTTCTATACCCTACTTCTCATCAGACCCTATTACTTTTCTCCTTCGTAAATATCTTCAGTTTAGTCCTTCCATCCTATCCCCATCCCTACCCCTTATGCATCCTTGTACCACAGGGGCTAATATCACAGAGGTCTTCTTGTGGCCCCCTTATATTATACCACCCATTCCTGTGGACAGGCAATAACTAGCACTGAAAGGTACCTCACAACTGTCTTACACCATCAGAGGACTTTGATCCTTTTTAGATCTCTAGCATCTCTTCATATCCCTCATCAGGTGTGTTTAGAACATCTGTGAGAAGCCATCAAGGCAAGAGAGAACTTTAGGCTCCTACTTTTTTGATCCTAGCTCTAAGATTAGAAGAAGATAGATGGGATTATCAAAATAACCTAGGATTGTCTGCCTTTTTGGCTTTCAGACTGCCTTCTATCCCAGAGCAGCTGAGAAATCCATGAAGCTGAGATTTTGAAGGACCCAGCTTAGGTTCTTCCACTTAGGCCTCAATTCCTCTCCTTTTCCAGGGGCAGCCTTAGTTCCCATGGCCCTGAAACATGTATTTTCCTCCTTTTCCCCCAGCATCTACTAGCCCCCAAAGTGGAGGAACTAGGATGACTTTCTTAAATTTTATTTCTTCAAAAGAAACTGAAGTTCTTTTCTGCCCACCTTTCTCCATGGAGCAGGAGTATAGATACTTCATTGCCTTGGGACTGGGAATCCATTTCCTCTGGCTTTTTCTCCCCTCTTCTCTGCCCTCCTACCATTAGTAACAGGATCGGCTTTAGCTTCTGGGCCTATATGCTGCCATCTCTCTACTTCCTAAAAGCTCCTTTACTTTCAAGCTCTGTTGGGCTTGGGGATCTTAGGTTTTTATTTTCGAGCTGTTCATTTTTCTGATTTTTTTTTAATTTTTTTTAAGGGGGGTATCTTTTTGGATGGTATTTTTTTTCTTCTAAGAAAGCATTTGCCTTTTTGTCCCCCCTTTTTCCCTCTCCCAACATAACAATTGTGGTAACAGAATGCAACTGCTGATTTACCAATGTATTTAATGTAAGTAAAAAAGGGGGGGGAACCCCAAACAAACAAATAAACAAAAAAAAACCCAACCATCCAAAATCCTACTCTGGAGTTTGAATATTCTTTTTCTAGTTAAGGTGCATGGATGATAAACCAAAAATACATATATAACACCTACGCACACATTCTATACTATTTCAAATTATTTATATACATGCTCTAGAAAAAAAGAGGGGAGATCTGGTGGCATAGTGGGTAAGAAGTTGCATTGACAGCCCATGGTCAAGTAGTTCCAAGCCACCAGCTGCTCAGAGGGAGAAAAATGGGCAATCTCTTCTCTTTGATTTACATCTCTAAACCTGCTCAACAGTCAGCAATCATCAGTTCCGCCTTGACAATGAGTTTGATTATTACTACGTTAGTGTTTTGGTTTTTTAATGCACAATATTTTTATCTTAGGTACAACCAGATATTTTAAATTTTATATTAGTTTGCATACAAAATTTGTAAACATTGTGTTTCATTCATGTACAGTGTTTGACACATTTCTTCATGCATATTATGTTTTATAGGATCTTTCATATGCATTGTTTTAGAAAATGAATCACCATTGAGCTATGCTACTACTGCTCCATCTTTTCAAGCCCCCATGCGTCTTTCCCAATTCTTTCACCCACTCTTGTCTACCAATCAAACCCTGTCATCCAAGTGATTTCCTCCTTCCCTACTCTCTGCTCAATGGTGATTCATTTTCTAAAACATGTGCAAAACACATTTTCAAAGCAGTAAAATGATAATTAATGCTAATGGTACTGTAGTAGCATACACATGACAAAATGCACTTGCAAAAATCTCTGGCCTGTACAATACAAAGAATGAACTGTAATGTAAATAACGTATATTATTTTATTTTAACAAACCAAACAAACCAACCAGATGCCCTCAACTCTGAATCATGTTCATTCCCTGTGTGTCGTTGTAGAATGGCACTTCTTAGGGTTTTGACTGGCTGATTTTTCAGAACCACCAGATATTTCTTCATAGATTTCTAGGTGGACTCAAAACTTGCAATCTTTAAGTCAGAAACCTAGCATGTTAACCCTTCTCCAAAGGGACACTTTAGCTAATAGAAATGGCATTGAAGAAGATATAAATAAGGAAATATTTTTATTTTCTATAATTTTTTGTTCAAATAGATACTGTTCTAAATATTGTTTTGCATAGTTAAGTCAACTATGATTCATAGCAACTCAATGAATAATGGTTCTGAACCTTACCCTATCCTGAGCCAGCCGCATTGGCTCTGACACACCTGCCCCCATTGCTACAATCACTGAGTCCATCCATCTCATCCGGAGTCTTTTTCTCCTCTGTAACCTCCTACATTTCCAAACATGACATCCTTCTCCAAGTAACTGGCCCTTCCTGGCAACATGCCCAAAGTATGTGAAACAGAACTTCAAAATTCTTATGTCTAAGGAGCAACCTGATTTCACCCTCTCATGATATGCTCAATATTCGTACCCAGCACCACAATTCAAAGGCTTTCCCCCCCCCTTCTTTTTCGATTTTTCTTCTGTTATCCATAGCTATTATCTATCTCTCAGATGCATAATGAGTGATTGAGAAGGCCAGGGTCTGGATCAGATCAGATGCATCTTGGTCTCTAGATTGACATCATTGCTCCTTGGCACTCTGGAGAGGTCCCTGTCTGCAGATTTTCCTAATACAACTCATCTTTTGATTTCCTGACTGCTGGTGCCAAGAGTGTTAATTGTGGAGCTGAGTAAGATGAAATCATTAACATCTTCAATATTCTCTACATCTATCATGAAGCTGCCTTTTGGCCTGGTTGTGAGGACTTTTGAATTCTTCATGTTAAGATACAATCCATACCAAAGACTGTAGACTTTGACCTTCTGTAGTAAATGCTTCAAGTCCTCCTCAGTTTCAGCAAACAAGGTTGCATCATCAGCATTATGCAGGTTGTGATAAATCTTCCTCCAATCCTGACGTCTCACACTTTTTCCATAAAGTCCAGCTTCCTGAATGATCGGTTCAAAAGGATATATCCCTGACACACTCCTTTCTTGATCCTGAATCATGTAGCGTTTCTTTACTCTGCTTGGAGAACAGCTTCTTGGCCTAGGTTTGGGTTGTAGAATTTCCATTCTTCTCAATGTTAACAACAATTTGTTGTGATCTACATAGTCAAAAGCCTTTGCTTAGGCAATAAAACAAAACAGACATCCTTCTGGTACTCTTTATATGAAAATATCCATATAACATCAGCCATAATATGACAAGATCCATATAACATGAGCAGTAATTTTTCTAGATCCACAGCATCTACTATACACTTGCAAGGAAGACCTATTAATACCACTGTCTTTCAAATGCATGTACCAACACCTGAAGCCAAAGAGGCGAAAATAGATTTCTATCAAACTTTGTAGTCTGAAATAATTCACTCATGCAACCAAGATTCATTACTATTTGGTGACTTGGATGCAAGTATTGGAAACAAGGAAGTAGTACCAGTAGTCGGAAAGTAACAGGCTTGGTGACAGAAATGAAGATGAAAACAGGATGACAGAATTATGTACAATGATTTATTCATTGCAAATACCTTTTATAAAAACGCAAATGGTATTCACTGCAAATACCTTTTATTAAAAAACTATACACAAGGACTTGACCTTACGGACTACACAAGAATCAGATTGATTGCATCTGTGGAAAGAACTATCAGTTGTGAAAATTAGGCTAGGTGCTGATTGTGGAACAGACGATCAGTTACTCATGTGAAAGTTCAAACTGAAGCTACATTGAGAAAAGAGCACAAGTGAAGGTTAAAACTTATGAGATGAAACTCATCAGCATGAAGACAGAAGGGTGAATGACTTGTGGGCCAGCTGGATTAAACCTCGAGGTCTTCCCTCTGGAAACAAGTACCCATTCTTCTTCACCAAGGGTTCCATAATTTAAAAACTCAAGAGAGAAGAAATATTTGATGAGACTCCCTCATGAAAGCCAGTCCTTTGGTGCTGAAGATCCCACGGACTGCCAAAAGAACAAAAAGCTTTATTGGAGAAGGTGCAGCCAGATTGCTCCCTGGAGACAAGGATGGCTAAGCTTGACCTCATATACATAGGGCATTTTGCTAGGAGGGGCTATTCCTTGAAGAGGGACATCATACTTGGAATAGAGGAGGGACGACGAAAGAGTGGAAGACCGTCAACCAGGTGTGTTGACACAGGGCCTGCAGCAACGGGCTGTGAGGATAACAGTTGTGCTCTGTTCATCTGTGATGGCAAACGGGGGTAGGTGTGGCTAAGGATAGGGTACGATTCAGAGCTATTGTGCACTGGATTGTCATGTGTCGTATTCTACTCAAGGACACAAAACAACAACAAAGTCTCCCATAACAAGTAGGATTCTGGAGTCGGAATTAACACCTGAGTTCGGTAAGACTGAGATTCAAAGTTTGGCTAGATGTTGTGTATCCACCGTTCTCCCGCGATAAAGGTCCAACTCTCAGAGCTAGAAATTCATATTCTGTGGACCGCCAGTCCCGACTGTAAATTTTAACCATGACCACAGTCTCCCCCGTCCATTTCTTACCGTGACAGACACAAGGATCCCACCTAGCTCAGCTCAGGGTTAGAGGTGCACAGCCCAGCGCTTCTGCGCGCGCTGCTTGCTGATTGGGTCAACCGCGATCTGCTTTAGCCAATCCGAAACTCACGGGGCCGCTGACGCATAGACTGCGCCGCAACTTTGACATTGGTAGCTCAGCGGCCACCGTCGCGCCTCTCCTGACGACTCAGACATGGCGGCGGGAGGTGGGGGCGATTTACAGCTGAAGAGGCGAAAGCGCCGGGACTTGGAGGAACCGGAAAGATCAGAACTCAGTGAAAGGGAATTGGCAGTGTCTGTGGCCCAAGAGAACGATGAAGAGAATGAAGAACGCTGGGTTGGGCCTTTACCTGTGGAGGCAACACTGGCCAAGAAAAGGAAAGGTAGCTGCAGAGATAGAACTCAGAAAGTTGTAATGCCAAGACCTCAGACTGTTGGATTTTTAGCTAAAGTAAAAAAAAAAAAAACCAAAGCGTTGTGGGATATTGAGGCGTCAGGATAAAAGGTCTCTTTCTTCAGACGTTCTGTACTTGCACGTTTCCAAAATGTAAAGTAAATGCTCGTTTCCAAAATGTAAAACAAGACATAACTCTTATGTTTAAGAAACAATTTCGTTCAATTAAAATCCCATATATTCATATATAATGTCTTCCTGAAAATGTATGCTGCATTCTGGAAACTTGTATAGTTTATGTACATTTTACGTACTATATTGGGCGGGGTTCAGATATGGGGTCCCTATGACTGCACCTGACAATACAACATACAATTTGTGGAGTGATGTGGGTTTGGTAAATCGCCTTTTTTATATTAGCATTTGCCATCACTGATTTTTTTTTTAGTATATGTTAACATTTGATAGCAGCCATCAGAGGTTGGAATTTAACTCTATTTTGAAGATTATAAAAAGTCTTGGTGGTCTACATAAGACTTTATGTGGAGTCTCATTCTGAATGCTGTTAGTGTTGGGTGGAAATGGAGCACAGCAGCTATTTAGAACCTGTACTTCAAGATTTTAAGTTTCCTTCCACATTTGTATTTTCTGACCTAGGGAAGATTGATTTAATTTCTTGGATTACAGGTTTATTCATTTAAAAGCACAGGTCTGCGATTTTCCCACAATATTTATTAAATACTACAAGACCAAGACGTGTTGCCGCTAAAATAATATAAATTTTGACCAGTGAAAGATGGAAAAGAATAGGTTAAATTATCTTTTTAAGACCATTAAAGCATAAATCTTACATTATAACTCTCTTCTACTTAAAAATTTTTTAAATGCTTTTTCATAGTACAGTCCAAACTCCCTCGCATGACATGACGTGACTTGCAAGTGCCTTTATGATCTGATCTCCTTCCTTCCCAGCCACATCTTCCATTTCTCTGCTCTCTTAACCTTTCCATCCTTATTCTATGCTCCAGCCATATTAAACTGCTTAGGCAAAAATAGGACATGTTCTTTTTTTTTCTGAATCCCTGCTCAAGTGTCATAGTGTCTTTTCTTGGAGTAATTTCACACACACACACACACACACACACACACATATATTTTCAACTCTTAGTGTGCAACTTAGCTGTCAATGCCTCCTAGGATCCTATGACTTTTCCAGTATAAGCTGTAATTCTTAGGCACTGTGATCATAACTTTGAAGTAATTATTATGCTTAATTTATAAATTTAAAATTTTATAAAAACTTTGAAGAAGATACTTTTTTTAATATTTTACACTGACATCTTTAAAATACATTAGTTCTTTTACTAACAAGTATTCATGTTAAATATTTGGGGTTTTTTTTCATTGCATTTGCCAGTTAGTAGTTGTATATTTTTCCATGTGATTGATTAATGTTTCTCACTGTTTTGAAATATGTTAGTATCTTGCAGACAAGAAACATACCAGTTTTTTTCTCCATTGTTTTCTAAGTAGTTTTCATGTTACAGGTGCTTGTTAAGAATTTTTTTAATGAATATTTATGTTGATATTTAACTATTTCATTGCACTTGAGTATTTGTGTATCTTTATGGTGCTCATTTGGAAAAAAATGAAAAATCTAAATATCAAAGTTCTAATATTACTGTTAAGAGATTCCATAAACTTAATATAATTAAAAGAAAGATGGAACTCATAATGTATGAAAATACATTTAGTCAAATGTCCAAATTTTTTCTAAGCAAGCCAGTGTGTTCCATTTGAAGAAAAATTTGAGAATGGGGGAAAATAGTAATTTAAAAGTGGAAAAAAGTGATGCTACCAAGCCGAAGGTGGGTGTTTTTAAACTGTGGCCCTCAGACAGGTTTTTAATTGTTTTTGGTCAAACATTCTTCTCAGTGGTATAGCACTGGTCTGTCCATTTGCTATACAGAGATAACTCTTGGTTACTGTGATGCTAAACACTGTGACACTGATGTGTCAAATGCAATAATGGTTACCCATGGTGGACAGTGTTTGGTGGAGCTCCCCGATTAAAACAAACTTGGAAGCAGGAGTGGCATCCACTTCCGAAATAGCTTGCCTCTCGAAACTATGAACTTGAAGAAATGATGAAAGTTATACAAATGTTCACGTCTTTCATTCATAGGGTCACTATGAGTTGTCTACGACTCGATGGCACTTAACAACATTAAAAGATTATTGAAAACTTTGTTTAAAAGAATGTAGGTTTAATATCCTTAGTTTTCTAGAAATAGCCATTCTCTTTAGCATGAAGTTTGGATAATGGGTTGATTTTTTTCCTTTAACATTTTCAGAACAGCATATAAACTATTTTAAGAATGGAAAGATGTCTTTTTTTCCTTGGTGTCATAGTTTCAGGAATCTATTTGGTTCTCAATAAATCGAAAACTCATTGCCATTGAGTCAGAACAGGCTCTTAACTGACCCTCCAGTGGGTTCAAGGAAAGAGATTACCTATCTCTCTTCTGTAGAGCGACTGGTGGATTTGAAATGCCATAGAGGTGTGGCCTCAGGATTAGCAGAGCAACTTCCTATAGACTACACCACCAGAGCACTCTGAATAAACATTTGTTCAGTAAGTTAACAACAAATAGCAAAAGGAATATGTATCTATCAGACGAAACTAAATTTAGTTATAAAAACAGAAAAACTCAAAATGATACTGACCTTGAAGAGCTAGAAGTATGTGTTTCACATTTGTAAAAGAAGTCACAAGGTAGGCAGGCCAGGATTGATAGACTCCAAAGTCAATGGAATCCTGGTTACTTTTCCAATTTCTGTCCTAACATCAGTAGGATATAACCGTCTTCTTCCTCGACTTCCAGATAGAGGATTGAGAAGAGGAGAAAAGTGACCATCTTTTTGTTGTTAGATGCCATCAAGTTGACTACAACTAATAGCAACCTTCTAAACAATAAACCTGAACCTGGCTCTATGTTGTGTCATCCTCACTTCCTCTAATATGCTCTAGCCCACCTATTGTTAAAAGTCATTAGGAATCCATCAAGTTGAAGGGCTTACTGTCTTTCTCTGACCCTCCACTCTTCCCAGAATGATGAAAGTAATTGAACAAAAAGCTAGAGTGGTTCAAATCTACCAGCAGCTCTAAGGAGAAAGATGGACATTCTCCTTTATGATTTACAGCCTTGGAAATCCAGTAAAGGGTCAGCTATGAGCTGACCAAGGTTCCAACTTGATGGCAATGAATTTATCTTGGCTATCACATAGTACTACTTTGATTTCATTGACCTGAATTTAGGCACACGGTCACATCTAACTTCAGGAGAGGGTGAAAAGATCATGTTGTCAACTTTCAGTCTGCAGTAGAGAAATAAGAATATGAAATTATTCATCATGATAAACTTTTACTTGTCCAGTGTGGATTACTTAGCAGACATATAATGTCAAGATTTTGTTGAGACTCATATGAAGCCAGATAGTTCTTAAATCTTGGAAAAAGTTATGCATCTGGTTAGTATCTGCGAGAGAAGCTGTCTTGATGACTAAATAATAGTGCTCTTCAGTATTTTAGGAAAACGAACATTGCAGCTTAGGAAGTACAGAATGCTTTTCATTATGTATGAATTGAGAGCAATTAAATTTTTAAAAATCAAAAGTTGTTGCAGTTGCATGCCGTTGAGTATATTTCATAGCAACCCTATGAACAGTAGATCTGAACCCCTGCCCCGTCCTGCATCATAAGGAAACACCACATAGACTTTAGAAAATTTTAAATTATTTGTTTAGTTCCACTTATCATAAAAATAAAATTATTCTTTACTCTTTTCTTCAGTTCTAGAGTTTGAAAGAGTTTATCTTGACAATCTTCCCAGTGCATCCATGTATGAGCGCAGTTACATGCATAGAGATGTTATTACCCATGTGGTCTGCACCAAGTAAGTCTTATCTTACCCTTTAAAATGTCTTTCTGAGAAATTTATTTCCTTAATATCTGAATGGTAAGGTGGATTTTTAGAAATTACTTTAGAATATTGTGGAAATCTGTTTAGTTCCATAGACTTTGATAATTTAAGTCAAAAGGGAAAAAGAATCACCTTATTTTTATGTAATTTACACTTTTAATGCCATGGGAAAACACCTTCCCCTCTTACCATGCAGCATTATCACAAGTTCTTTATATAAGTGTTTTGTGTTGGTGATGTCAAGTCTATTTTTTCCTCTTTTTTGTCCAATGTATATAATGTTAAATTGTCATCTTAGAGCCTGGTGACTTGTAGGCTTGCTTCTCAGCAGTGGACTTGAGTTTCTAAAGGAACACCTCTTCAATCAGGTTTCCTTCTACTCTGCAGACAGTTTCTCCAATGCAAAAATAAATCACTTTTTCTACCCTGGAAGCAGACCTCACCATGGTGACTAGCCTCAACCTAGGTGGGGCATGTGTCTTTGAACCCTGTGGCAGCAAGACCACTGAGAAGGGTGAGCCTGGCAGAATGCAGCCCTATCATCTAGCTGTTGCAGTAGGGCTATTTATGAAGGGTGGATGTCCACAGCCAGGGCAGTGCATGCCTGTACCTACATTATCCTATTGTCTGAATTTACATGGGCAGGTACCTCTGAAACCAAGTGCATATGGACAGCAGCCTCTATATGCTGTAGGAACAGCCCATGCTCAGGCTATAACAACCACACACCCCCAACCCTTCACCCATCTCTGGTATATTATATCTGGATATATGTGGGTGGCAAGAAACTCTCACTCTTAGACCTGTCTGCAAACTGCCCCCAAGCACATAACAGTTTTAGTTCTTTTCCAGTTACTGAGTACTACCTAATTTAATAATCCATTACTTGTTGACCCTGGTTTATGCCTTTATTTTACAAATATAATTGAAAGTAGCATTTTCAGGCTTTTGAATGATGGTGAGTTAAGTCAAAGTTAATTTTTTTAAGTGTCAAAAGATTATATGTGGTGTGCGTAGGCATTCTGAACTTTTTGCATAATGTCATTTCCATCTCTTATACATGTGTGCGCTTATTTATATGGGCACATTTATATTTAAGAACAATATGATATACTTTCCTGTATCAAACAACAAATACATTCTCTGAGACAAGTCCTTAATTTGTGTGTATTGGAGCTAAATTCAGAGTAGCGTACATGAGTTAAGAAAATTGGTAGCTGACATCATCACTGTCAGTATCAGAAAAATAGTGAGAACTAAGACATTTTCAGAGGCAGAATTAGGGTTGGGAGAAGGTAAAACATGCTTTTAGTATGTCCAGGTGGTTTTTTCATAATTTACTTCATCATTTGAACAATCTTAGGAGGTAGTATTATGATTTTCATTTTATAGATGAATTTTGGAATGGTTAAATGGTAAATTCTACAAGTTGTTAGTGTATAAAACAGCATATAGTTATTAAGATTGATATTCCTGCAAAGTTTTTCATTTGTTTACCCAGTGTGCTGGAATGATAATAGTGTAATGTATACAGTGAACGAGATATTTCTGGTATTTAAGGCTGCAGTCTAACTATGGACCTGGAGTAAGTAAATTTAAAATTGTAAACCTATTTCCCCATTTAAAAAATTATGATTAACAAATGCCCATTGCCTTCTAGTTGCTTACAGGGCAGAATAAACATCCACCATAGGGTTTCGAGTTTTGACAGAAAGAAACTGCTGCATCTTTCTCCAGTGGAGCACCTGGTTGGTTTAAATTCCCAACCTTTCAGTTAGCAGCTAAGTGTTGGGGTTTTTCTTAAAAGATTCTTTAATTGTTGTACAGTTTGCAACCAACTATTTTAACCACTAGACCACAGGGCTCCTTAATGATTAAAATGCCTACCGTAATAGAGTTATTATAAAGATTAAAATAATATATATAAAATACCTGAAATATACTGTTGTTGATTACCATCAAGTCTAGCACAACTCATAGCAACCCTATGAACAAAAGGCCTGACGCCTTTCCATAACTTTTGTCATTTATCAAAGTTCCTAGAGTTTCCAGAGACATGTTTTTTAGGAAGTGGATGCCACTCTTGCTTCCAAGAAATATACTAGGTTTCAGGAAATAATAGTTACTTTTACTTGTGTTAAGGAACAACTCTTCTATAAAGTGTTGTTGTTATTTTTAAACAAACATCCTGAATTTTGCTGTCTATGAAAGTAGTTTTTTTGAAAGTTATTGAAATTTAGTTCTTTGTCAAAATTGAAAAGTGAATTAGACTGCTTATAGATGATTTATTGTTCAGAGCTACTAAGATCCAGTGATCTCTAGTGCTAATTTCTTTCCTATATGTTTTTCTTTCTTTCTAACTTCATGCCATACTTAAAAGCTGAGGATTAAAATGGCATTGCAACAAACATTAGGAAACACCTAGACTATTAAGTTCCATTTTTAAAATTTTGTGCCCTAATACAATGATCTACATAAAATTGTTTTGTGGTGTTATTTTCTAAGAGTATTGTAAAATTGTTGCTAAATCTCAGTGAATGTTTTGTGGTACTGACCAATTACTAGAGCTCTCTTAAAAATTAACTTTAAAAACTTTATATATGCAGGACAGATTTTATTATTACTGCCAGTCATGATGGACATGTTAAGTTCTGGAAAAAAATAGAAGAGGGAATTGAATTTGTTAAACATTTTCGTAGCCACCTGGGTAAGAATGTCATGCTTTTCTTAATACCTCTCATTTAAATTGCACTAAGTAAAGTTTCTTTTTTTTTCTTTGTAACATTCCTATTTATTATGTTTGGCATTTACTGGGATGTTTTAATTTTATTTATTTAAATAGGAGTTATTGAGAGTATCGCAGTTAGCTCTGAGGGAGCTTTACTCTGTTCTGTGGGTGATGACAAAGCAATGAAGGTGTTTGATGTAGTGAACTTTGACATGATCAATATGCTGAAGCTTGGGTAAGTCCATTTAAAAGTATATCTTTTTTATGCCCATCAACAAGCAAATGGATAGAAAAACTATGGTATATTCACACAATAGAATACTACACAGCACTGAAAAACAGTGAACTCGTGAAACATTACACAACATGATTGACCCTGGAAGACATTATGCTGAGTGAAATAATCTCAGTCATAAAAGAACAAATACTCCATAATACCACTCTTGTAAAACAAGACTGACATGGAGGGGTTGGGAGGAAACTAGAAAAATAGGGTATAGATAATGAACACTGCTTTGGAACAGATGAAGGAAATAACTGTTTAAAAGGACTATATGATTAGGTATTATATGTATGACAGCAGTCCAGAATAAGAGGTATAAAGTGGACTGGGTAGAGGGAGGGAGAAAATTGTGTAACAATGAATGAATTAAAGTCCAGCTTTTCTTTAAATTTTCATTAAAATCACAATAAGAAAAACCCCAACAACTTCTAATTTCAATATCAAGATTAAGGTAATAGTAAAGAGAATAGAAAGGGAGACCATCGATGAAATGGATAGATACAGTGACAGAGGTAATGAGTGTAAGTGTGGCAGAGACAATAAAGCTGGCAAGGATAGAGCAGATTTCAGGGCTGTTGTACGTAAGTCGTTATGAGTCACAAGCAACTCTACGGCACATGACAGCAAAAGAGAATATGATGTGAGAATGTTCTCACTTGTTGAATATAGCCATAACTGAAACATTTTATCTTAAGAATTTGGAGACTGGATTTCCAAAGTATACATTTCTAAACTTTTCTATTTAAAAGTAAATTTTACCTAGATCATTTCACAGATATCAAAGAGTAATGCCCCAGAATATCTAAGGCCCAGGACAAGTTAACTTTCTTTGTTTTCCAATGATAAGCAAATGTGCTAAGATGTAATATATGAATTCTCTTCTTATAGTTTGCTGTATCCTCAGAAGTTATCATCATTGTATTGATAATGTTCAGAAAGATAAAAAGTTAGCAACTATATTTTGCTTTTCAGGCCATTCTCCATCTGTCTGCTGCTTCTGAACGTATATTCTAAAACTAGATAAGTCATTGGCTGGGACATATTTTTGGTAATGATAGTAGACTCGTACTAGTTTATTAACTTTTTCCCCTTCAATTCTTTCCTCTTCTAGCTATTTTCCTGGACAGTGTGAGTGGATCTACTGCCCAGGGGATGCTATATCATCAGTTGCTGCTTCTGAAAAGAGTACTGGAAAGATTTTTGTTTATGATGGTCGAGGAGATAACCAGCCACTTCACGTTTTTGACAAACTTCATACATCGCCTCTTACTCAGATACGGTTAAACCCAGTTTACAAAGCTGTAGTGTCTTCTGACAAATCTGGAATGATTGAATACTGGACTGGGCCTCCTTATGAATATAAATTCCCCAAAAATGTGAACTGGGAATATAAAACTGACACAGATTTATATGAATTTGCAAAGTGCAAGGCTTATCCAACTAGCATATGTTTCTCACCTGATGGGAAGAAAATAGCCACTATTGGTTCTGATAGGAAAGTTAGAATTTTCAGGTTTTTAACTGGAAAACTCATGAGAGTCTTTGATGAATCACTCAGTGTAAGTACTGTTTAAATTTAATTTTATTTTACTTGTCTGAAATGTCTTTATACTATTTTTAAAAAGATATATTTGATGGAGATAGACGTTTTGGGTTTCTGGTTGTTTTCTCTTAGTATATTACAGTATTATTCAGCTATATTCTGCATTATGTTTTTGCTTTTGAATTCTTCCCTTGGTGGTTTGCTGTGATAGCTTCTTAGAGAGTTATCCTATTACATATGTGGCTGACATTTTCACCTTTATTTTGTTAGCAAGTCTGTGTTCTTAAAATTTTCAAAACTCAGTCTGTTTAAACTCTCTTCTTACTCATCTTTATCTGTATGTCTACTCCCAAGTTTATTTCCCCCGCTTTTATTATGTAAAAAAAGCTCAAGTGATATAGTTCGTTATCTCTTGTGCTGGTAATCCATAGATCAGTGGTTTGAATCTACCAGCATTGTCATCCTACAAAAAATTACAACTTCAGAAGCTTGATGAAGGGTTTCTAAGAACTAGAATTTGTTTGATAGCACTGGGTTTAGGGTGGCCTAGTGGTCCAAAGCTGCACTGCAATCCCAAAGGCCTGCAGTTCGAATCCACTAGCTGCTCTTCAGGAGAAGGACTGGCATTCTCCTCCCATGTGATTAACTGCCTTTAAAAACCCACCAGAGGGTCAGCTATGGGTCCATTCTGACTCAACAGTACATAACAACAACATTATGAATTAACCTGTTCTTATTCTTTTTATTTTTCATTCATATCCATTGAAATGAACAAACCTAGAAACTTAGAGTCTTTAACTGTATTTCTTTACCTTTTCTATTTAATCATGGTGACTTCTGTCCGTTTTAATTTCTTGTTGTTAAGGGCCACTGAGTCAAGTATGAATCATAGCATTGCTATGAACAACAGATCCAAACTCTGTCCTTTTCTGTTCCATTCTTAACCCTAACACTTTGGAGACCATTACTGCAGTCACTGTGTCAGTTCATCTGGTTGAAGGTCTTCCTCTCTTTCACTTACCCTCCACCTTTCCAAGCATGATGTCTCTTTCCTAGGAATAGCCTCTCCTAACAACATGTCCAAAGAATGTGAAGTGAACCTTTGCTGTCTTTGCCTCCAAGGCACACTCTAGCTGCACCTTCTCTAAGACATAGTTATCTGTGCTTTAAGCAGTCATGATCATACAATGCTCTTCTCCAACACCCAAACTCAAATTCATCACTTCTTCTCCAGTTAAGTATATTCATTGTCCAGCTCTCAGGTTTATGCAGATGATTAGAAAAAATATGACTTGAATCAGGCATACCTTAGTCTTTGCACTGACATCTTTGCATTCTTACTTCTTAATATACCTTAAATCCATCCTATTGTTTTCTGCACAGCTGCCACTATCCTTGTTCTTGTTTAGTTATGTGCCATCAAATTGGAACCAACTCTTACTGATCCTCCAGCAAGTTTTCAGAGGCTATGAATCATACAAGAGGAGATTGTTCATCTTCTTCATGCAGATCAGTCTATGGATTTGAACCACTTGCCTTTGAGTTGGCAATGTAGCTCTTTGTTATTTGGCCACCAGAGTTCTATTCCACTACCCTAGTTCATGATTGTGCCCTAGCTTTTCATAGCCTACTTATTTTATTTATACTGGCTTTCTTCTAATCTGCTACCCATTTTTCAGCACAGTAATTTTTTGAAAGCAGAAATCTCATTGTGTGATTCCTTTCTCTAGATGTTTTCTTGACTTCCTATTGTTCTGAAGACCAAAACTTGGAATCATGGTCTAACAGACTTTTCATGTATCACTTCAGCCTGTATAAATTACCTTCTCCACATTAAGCCACCTTATGATTTCTTGAACATGCTTTCCCACCAGGCCTTTGAATATGCTATTCTTGATGCTTTGTAGTACCACTCTCACTAGTCCTGCCCTTAGTTACTGGATACATACTCATCCTTCAGTGGCATAGTGGTAAGGAGTTGCACTGCCATCCCGAAGGTGGGCAATTTGAATCCACCAGTTACTGCATGGGAAAAAGATCTCCTCCCATGGGATTAACTGCCCCAGAAAACCTACACGAGGGAGGGTCAGCTATGAGTTGATTCCAATTCTAGGGTACCTAACAACAAGTTATCCTTCAGATCTCAACCAAAGAGTCACTTCTTGAGGAAGAAAGCTTTCACTAGTCATCCTACCGTAAATGACTTAAACAAACAAAGTTAGTTTGTATAATTCTGTTTTCTTTTTTAACTTTAGATTGGTCTTTTGCTTTTTGTGGGCTTTTTTCATATCTAACATCCCCAGTAGCTCTTGCTGATCTGACTTTATGAATGTTTAGCCTCATTATTTTATTTTCAGCATGAGAACAATGGCTGACACATAACCATTACTCACGTATTTGTTAAAAGGCGATTACTCACATATTTGGTAAGAGTGAGTCTCCCATCACCTGTTAGGGTACTGCAAGAATTTGTTAGAGCATTTGGTTACAGAATAAGAGTATGCAAAGCTAAATATTTTTGTTGATATTTGGGTCTCCAGCAGTTGTGGTGTTGGAGAAGAGTATTGAATATACCATGGACTGCTAAGAAAACGAACAGGTTCATCCTGGAGAGGGTTAAACCAAACAGCTCTTTGGAGGCAAGGATTCTGAAGCTTCTTCTGACTTACTTTGACATGTTGCAAGGAGGGACCAGTCCTTGGAGAAGGATATCATGTTTGGGAGGGTAGAGGGACAGTGCAGGAGGGGAAGACCCTCTGTGAAGTGGATTGATTCCGTGACTGGGGTAATTGGGGTAGGTGTGTCAGGACAGTGAGATTGGCACAGGATAGGGCAGGGTTTAGGGCTGTTGTACATGGGGTTGCTATGAGTTGCAGGCAACTTGATGACACATAAGAACAAGAACAACAATTTGAGTCTCATCAGCTCTGTTCCTGTCAGATGGTTCTCTGACTGCTAATAGTACGTTGAATTCTTTGAAAGTGTTTAAGTTAACTTTTTGTAGCAGTAATGCTTATTGTATAACAGTGTAAATTCAGTGTAGTAGTAATCAGTTTATCTTAGATTGCCTCTTCAATTGACCTCTGGTGGCACTGTGTTAAGGCATCAAGCTGCTAACCAGAAGTTCAGTGGTTCAAACCTACCGCTGCTCCATGAAGGCAATTTGTTTCTGTAAAGATTTTTTAGCCTTTAAAACCCTGTTGAACACTGTTGGTGGGAATGTAAAATGGTGCAGCCACTATGGAGGGCAGTTTGGTGCTTCCTCAGAAAGTTGGAAATAGAAATACCATCTTACCCAGTTCCCAAAGAAATCAGAGCTGTGACATAAACAAATATATGCACACCCATGTTTATCTCAGCATTAGTCTCAATAGCCGAGCAATGGAAACAGCCCAGGTGACCATCAACAGCCCCTAGCCTCTGTCTTACAGGGTCTGTATAAACCCACCTACTGACTTGATAGCAGTGACTTTAGTTTTCTCATTAAGCTCTTCAAAAATACCTTATTAGTAACACTTTTTTTTGGCAAGTAGCAGTGATTTAATGTGGCTTGTCTCCTAAACAAATGTAAATATTTATCTAGACAAAGGTAAATATCTGCTAACAAATTTGTCTTCAGTGCTCATTTTCTTGTTGGAAGAAAATAACTTTCAATTCTGCTTTTAAGAAAAGGAGAACCCTTTGTGCTGTTTTCATCTTTAGTGGTAGGTGATAACTACTAAGTAATAATAGATGTTACTTTTAGCTTTAACTCTTTACCAACGTACAGCACTTTGTGTTTTCCTCAGAAAAACAAAGATTGCTCCTCCAAATCCAAATATTCAGAGTCTAATCTCTGGGTATAAACACTCAGACACTTAGATTTTCAAACCAGTCTCTCTGGATCATTTTGATTCTAACTTTTGTTAAGAGCCAAATGCCAAATAAATTAATTACAAAACTGTCATTTATTAGGTGCCAGCAAGTCAGCTTCAAATCAGTGACCTGGAGAACAACAGAACAAAACCCTGTGCCATCCTCACAGTCTCTGCTGTGAATCAGCCCATTGTTGCAGCCACTGTCAATTCATGCTTGTCACAAATAGTGCTTTTTATTTTTGGCCACTGTCATGTCAGGCCTTTCACACACAACAACTAAATGTGACCTAGCTCTATGCCATTTCCAAATAATGAATAAATAAATAACTGGAATCTCATGTTTAACAAGTTCATGTTAAGGAGAAGAAAGTTTCTGATTTGTTAGAATCCTACTTTAAGTTAAAAAATATGAATTGGGTAGTTTGAAATTGTATCTTTTAGTATTTATTTAGCCAGGGCCACTTCATAAAGCTATGCCAGTCTGTATCATAGAGACCTTACTATTTAAGGCTAAAACCCATTGCCTTTTTCCAGCTCATTGGCTCATTGGCTCTGTAGGACAAAATGGAACTGCTTTTTACCGTTTCTAAAGATATTTTTGGTAGTTTGGTTTTTGGGTGGTGTTTTTTTTTTCTATAGACGGAGTGCTACCCCTTTCTCTGTGAAACGCTGGTGGGTTCAGACTGCAGACCTTTTAGTTACCAGCTGAACACTTCAACATTGCACCATCAGGACTAGAAAACTAAAAATATTTAAGTGTACTTATCAACTTGAGATAGCGTTAATGAAATGTATGTGGTCACATAAACACATTTAAGCTGTAAGTATTGAGTATGGATTCCACACATCAAAAGTGTAGTCTAGTATTCTGGGCTGAACATGGATAAAAAGTATTTATAACTCTCTTTGTCTTACTAAGACAAGACACCCTAAATGAGTGAACATTTTTACTGGTGCAAGACTTCATGATTTTATACTAACACTATGTTTCCTATTGATACTTGGAATTTTATATCTTGTTCTTTCCATATCTAAAAAAAAAACAACAGAAAACCTAAAGAGTTTCAATTAAGAAAAACATGGAAAAAAGCCAAATAAATGAGTTATGTCTAGTTTATTTTCATCTCTAATATAGAGAACTGCTTTTAAATTATTTGTTTGATGCCGTAAATGTTTAGAAAACTGAATGTAAAACACATCACATTTTCTGAGAAGCTACTAGGGTGCTATTATTTACTAATAAGTTGCTTTAAACTCAGGAATCAGAATCTACAATGTAACATTCTCAAGGAAGGTTCTGATTCTGTATTTCTGGGGTTCTTATTATATTGCTGAGTCAAGTACAGCTCAGAGTGACCCTATGTCAAGTCAAAACCCATTCATAGCTGTACTCCAGCAGGTTTTCAGAGATAGTAAATCGCATGAGAGATTGCCCATCCTTTCCCACAGAATAGCTGGTGGATATTTTTGTTTGTTTGTTTCCAAAATTGTAAATCTTTTTTTTTTATTTTAATGAAAGTTTACAGAGACTTTGGATTTCCATTGTTGCACTTTTCTCCCTGCCCACCCCTCCCCCGCAATTCGCTTTTCTTTTTGAAAAGTAAAAGAAAAAGATTCTCTCATTGTTATTCAATCCCTCCCTCCAAGCCCACTCCACTATGCTACCTTTGTTCTGGATCCTGTCATAACAATAATATCTAATCATATATACCTTTTAAACAATTCTCTCTTCCCTCTATTTAAATGCAGTATACATTATTTAGCTCATCTTTCTCAGTCTCCCCACAACCCTTATGTCAGTCCTCTTGTGTAACAGTAGCATTATGCCTTATTTGTCTTTTTGTGACTGAGATATTTCCCTCAGCATAATGTCCTCCAGGGTCACACATTTTGTGAAATATTTCATGAGTTCTGGTGGATTTAAGCCACGTGCCTTTGGAAGTGCAGTGCAACTCCTTGGGTGGAAATGCAAATTCTCAGAAGCCCTAGTTGAACCATGTAATTAAACATTATACCACAAGGGGTTCTAAGGTAGAATACTTCTTGTTATGTCCCATTGAGTCAAGTATGATTCATAACATCCCTATAAATAACATTTAAACACTGCCCTATCCTGCACTATCCTCATCATTTCTGACATACTTGAGCCAATTGCTATAGTCAAGTGTGTCAACCCATCTTGTTGAGGGTCTTCCTCTGACCCTTTGTCTTTCCAAGCATAATGTCCCCTTGTAAGGAGTAGCCCCTCCTAGCAACATGCCCACTGTATGAAAGGAAGCTTCACTATCCTTGCCCCTGTGGAGCATTCTGGCTGCTCCTTCTCCAGCACATATTTGTTCTTTTGGCAGTCTGTGGGATATTCAGTACTGCTCTTGAGCACCACGACTCCAAATCCAAGGCATCCGTTTTTCTGCTATCTTTATATATTATTCAGCTCAAAGATGGATGTTGATTATGGATCCAAGTAAGATGAAAAGTAGAGTGCTAGTACATAGTAATTGAGATGTGAATCCTATTGATAATTTTGTACTAGATATCTAAAGAAAAGTATGTGAAATTTCCAAACTAAAGAGCAGTCATGAAACCCCTAAGATTCTAAATCAGTTTCTAAATCTTATTTATATGATACCATCTTGGTGCCCTGATGACACAGTGTTTAAGTGCTGGGCAGCTAACCAGTGAGGCATTGGTTTGAATCTACATTGGAGAAAGATGTGACCACCTGTTTCTATAAAGATTGCAGCCTTGGAAGCCATATCGGGCAGTTCTGCCATGTCTTCTAGGATCGCTATGAATTTAAATCACCTCACCACATTTTAATATAGCTGTAATTGTGTTCCATATAAAAATTTGAAAAATTATCATAAACTTATAAATTAGTCTATAAGAGCTTTTGTTATGTGTCAAGCATATGAATCTTGTTCAAGGAATCTGTAGCTGCTTTGTCCAGTATAGTAGCCAAAGCTACATGTGTGGCTGTTGAACACTTGAAATGTGTGAATCTGAACTGAGATGTGTTGGAAATGTAAGATGCACACTAGCTTTCAAAGACTCAGTGTTAAAAAGGAATATAAACTTTGATTTTTTTTTATATTGATTAGTTTTGAAATAATTTTTATATATTAAACAAAACATAAAATGTGCTTTTTAGACTCTTCTAGAGCTACTAGAAAATAGTATATATAAGATTCAGCTTTTTAAAATAGAGAACACAGTAATTATATTAACTAGTAATTATATTAACTAGTAATTATATTAATTTTCTTTTTTAATGAGAAAAACCAGTTGCCAGTCAATACAAAGTATTTTTAATTTTTTTTTAAATAATGTCTTTTATTTCATGCTCAGACTGTTTAGAATCCCCCTTGCAGTATGTAAATGCACAAACTATCTGGCTATTAATGTGTACTTTATTTCATTTTAAATTTTTATTGCCTTAATTATGTAACTTTTTTGTTAATAAATGGTTTGTTTCCTAGATGTTTACTGAGCTGCAGCAGATGAGGCAGCAGTTACCAGACATGGAATTTGGCCGGCGAATGGCTGTAGAACGTGAATTGGAGAAGGTAGATGCAGTAAGATTAATTAATATAGTTTTTGACGAAACTGGACACTTCGTGCTATATGGAACAATGCTGGGCATTAAAGTCATAAATGTAGAAACAAACCGGTAAGCTTCAATATGATGTATGCTTCTTAAAAATGCATTCTGGGGGACCATTTCCTCCTTCAGAGAAACAGTAGGAGTTTTGTTTGCTCCAAGACAAGTGGAATAGTCCCAAATGTCTAAACTTAACCAAATGTTTTGACTGGATTTTTCTGTGGTCACTCGCTTGTTTATAATCTTATGTAAAAAGTTTCCACACATGTTTGTGAAAGAAATGGAAAGAAGATATGCATAGTTTCAAGTTTTGTTTTGTTTTTAACAAGTTTAAGTCTGTCTTTTGCTTATTGATTTAAATTAGCCTGGTTCATGTTAAATGTTGCCAAATATTTTAACCACAGAATTCAGCATTACATCCTGCTAGACATAAAAATCAGAAGTTAAAATGCATGAAACCACAATAAGCCTTTGTGCAAACAGTCTATTTGGTTTTAGTACAAAATAGCCCCAATCAGATACTATCACTGAATGTAAATGAAAAGAACTTAAAGTATATTTGCAGGGGGGAAAAAAACCCAAACAGTCTTGTGTTGTACATTTCCACATATTTATATCCTAATTCTTGGCAATACAAAATCTTTGAAGGTTTACACAAAGATTAAAATAATAGAATAGGTTAAAACTATATAAATGAATGATTGCATTTTTCAAACTGAAAATTATAGATGCTGACCAATGTTAAACGAAATATTATGTTGGACAGAAACATTGTAAGGAACCTTTCACTAGTTATTTTTTTAGTTGGTTTCTAACTTTTATCTGTAAATTCTTATGACCAGAATCTAGTAATTTTATTACATAAAACATTATTGTATTCTCCAGGTGTGTGCGGATTTTAGGCAAACAGGAGAATATTAGAGTGATGCAATTGGCTTTGTTCCAGGGAATTGCCAAAAAACATCGTGCTGCAACTACTATAGAGATGAAAGCTTCTGAAAACCCTGTTCTTCAGAATATT